CACACACACACACACACACACACACACACACACATATTTTAATTGCCATATTATTGTCATGATAAATAAATTTTTAATTTCATAGTAGAAATAAGATTTTATTTGCATGAAAATTGAGCGTGCTTTCAGTACCATTGTTTTTTATTAATTGTCGTGATTCAATTTTAATTTCACCCTGAATCCAAAAGAAAAATATAAAATTATATTTTGCATGAAAATTAAGCATGCTTTTAGTACCATTAATGCACAGTATCGATAATTACATTTTAATTCTTATTATTGTAATGTAGTAAGGGTTTACAGTAAACAACTTGATACACCTTTTTTAAAAATGATAATCTGCATAAATTAAATGCAATACAATGAATACTACCATGATGTAAAAATAATGCAATTTAAATATTCTTTTTAATAATAAATTTGAATTTGATGTGTTAAATAATGAAAAAAAGATTCTAATACAATTTTTTTTAATGCAAAATGCCTTTTTAAAATTATTTTTTTATTTTTATTTTGTGGTGAATTATAACCTGAAGATGTTGAGAGTTTTTTTTGGAAATGTACTCAAAAACTAGTCACTGTTCCAGCTGCAAATTACATTTCTTGTATTTTATAACATAAATCTATCTGATAAACGTCTAATATGATGCTGCATTAATGCTAACCAGTATAATCATTCAGTTCCTCTCTATGTGAAAAAAACACAGCCTAAAATTAAATCAAATTTTCATGAAGCAAATGCCCTGAAGCAGCATTTAAAGCCTGTCTCTTGTTAATGCGTTGAGTTTAGAGTAAAGTGCATGAGCTCTTACCTGATCTGTGTGATGTGCTGTGATTGTGTGTGTGATTCAGACTCAAAGCTCTGGAGAAGTTCTCATGACCGTCACGGGTTCAGCTCTCACACTCACAGCCATTCACATCAGTTACCCAGCGTGAAGTCTGCTGACTGCCTTTACTGCGGTAACTGACCTCAGATCAGCATCATTCACGTCAGTGAAAACTGTGTAACTAGATTACAGAGAAAACTAATGTTTATGCTTGTGTTAAAAGTGTGTGAAATTAGTCTATATAATAATTAAACCATGCATGAGTTTAATGCTGTGACTGATGAATCACTTCACTTCAAATATCTAGAAATGTTTAAATGCATTAAAGTCTTGAGGCTGATCTAAATTGTAGACCTGTACATGATGTATGTGCTGTGATGCTGATTCAGATCCACAGTCAAATAGCTTTACAGGTGATGGCAAAAAGTTGGCTTTACACACTTGCCAATTTAGTAGCATTTAATATATGTAAGTGCACATTTAGACAAATACAAGATGTTAAAGAAAAAAAAAAATATATATATAAACAATACAAGTACTAAAAAGATGTAAGAATATAGTTAAACCTTTGAAATCACATTTGTTTTCACTTATGCACCCGACTGAACTAAACCCAGTGACTCTTTTAAAGTCTCTCACATGTTGTAGCTGTTCTATTTAACACTCTTCGCAATACAGATTGTTTCAAAGTAGCGTTACACAAAGCCACATTGTTCATTTTTACTGATACTTTTAATGTTTGTGGTCACAAGATGATTTTCTCTCAGCTGTTGATCTGCTGTAATACTAATAATGACCTGTAGAGCGGCACAATATTGTATAGGTTATTTTTATTATTTATTTATTTATTGGCACTTGCACTGCACTATACAAGGAACATCCAACAAGCACCAGGATGAAAACAAAATATATATAAAAACAACAACACATGTAGGAGCAAGAATAAAGACAAACATTTAGCAGATAAAGACATCAAATGCACTAAAATAAAAAAAAAGAAAATATTTTGACATAGAGAAACAGTTTCAGACTGTCCTTTTATATATATATATATATATATATAAAAGGACAGTCTGAAACTGTTTCTCTATGTCAAAATATTTTCTTTTTTTTTATTTTAGTGCATTTGATGTCTTTATCTGCTAAATGTTTGTCTTTATTCTTGCTCCTACATGTGTTGTTGTTTTTATATATATTTTGTTTTCATCCTGGTGCTTGTTGGATGTTCCTTGTATAGTGCAGTGCAAGTGCCAATAAATAAATAAATAATAAAAATAACCTATACAATATTGTGCCGCTCTACAGGTCATTATTAGTATTACAGCAGATCAACAGCTGAGAGAAAATCATCTTGTGACCACAAACATTAAAAGTATCAGTAAAAATGAACAATGTGGCTTTCTGTAACGCTACTTTGAAACAATCTGTATTGCGAAGAGTGTTAAATAGAACAGCTACAACATGTGAGAGACTTTAAAAGAGTCACTGGGTTTAGTTCAGTCGGTTGCATAAGTGAAAACAAATGTGATTTCAAAGGTTTAACTATATTCTTACATCTTTTTAGTACTTGTATTGTTTATATATATATTTTTTTTTTTTCTTTAACATCTTGTATTTGTCTAAATGTGCACTTACATATATTAAATGCTACTAAATTGGCAAGTGTGTAAAGCCAACTTTTTGCCATCACCTGTAAAGCTATTTGACTGTGGATCTGAATCAGCATCACAGCACATACATCATGTACAGGTCTACAATTTAGATCAGCCTCAAGACTTTAATGCATTTAAACATTTCTAGATATTTGAAGTGAAGTTGGCTTTACACACTTGCCAATTTAGTAGCATTTAATATATGTAAGTGCACATTTAGACAAATACAAGATGTTAAAGAAAAAAAAAAATATATATATAAACAATACAAGTACTAAAAAGATGTAAGAATATAGTTAAACCTTTGAAATCACATTTGTTTTCACTTATGCAACCGACTGAACTAAACCCAGTGACTCTTTTAAAGTCTCTCACATGTTGTAGCTGTTCTATTTAACACTCTTCGCAATACAGATTGTTTCAAAGTAGCGTTACACAAAGCCACATTGTTCATTTTTACTGATACTTTTAATGTTTGTGGTCACAAGATGATTTTCTCTCAGCTGTTGATCTGCTGTAATACTAATAATGACCTGTAGAGCGGCACAATATTGTATAGGTTATTTTTATTATTTATTTATTTATTGGCACTTGCACTGCACTATACAAGGAACATCCAACAAGCACCAGGATGAAAACAAAATATATATAAAAACAACAACACATGTAGGAGCAAGAATAAAGACAAACATTTAGCAGATAAAGACATCAAATGCACTAAAATAAAAAAAAAGAAAATATTTTGACATAGAGAAACAGTTTCAGACTGTCCTTTTATATATATATATATATATATATATAAGGACAGTCTGAAACTGTTTCTCTATGTCAAAATATTTTCTTTTATTTATTATATAATTTTAAAAACTATTGCTACGTGTACAGCTGTAAGTAACTGTTTAGAGCTACAATTGTAATTGATAAATAACACAATTGAATTACAATTTATTTATTTACTTTTTATTTTGACCCCTATATAGTAGGTGTTTTTCCCCCCATAATGTTTAAGGGAGGGTGCACAACAATACAATTCTCTGGACACAAATTATTTTATGTATTTTGAAAATACAAAAATACTAATCTTAAATGCATTTAAATACAAATTGCATTTGATTTTCCCCAAAGGCTTTAAAATACAAAATGGCATTTGTATTTCAAGTAAGTGTTTTAAATACATGCATCTGAAATGCTGGTCATATTGTGAGAAATAACTGTATTATCTTTGAGATGCAAATGAGCCGCTAATGGTCCTGGTTTGTTTAATGAGTGCTGATGGTCTGAGGCTCATCAATATTAACAGAGCTTATGAAACGACTCTTTATTTCAGGTCAATAGTTGCTGTTTTCACCTCATTTATTATGCTGACGTCTGCAGATCTCCTGTAAATTGACACTTAAAGCTCATTTCATTGGAGGATCTGTTTATTTCTCACTCAAATCTGTCAATTTCTGTGTTTATGCTTTCAGCTGTTTTCTTACAGTTCTTTACTACATCTGTCGATATTTAAATAAAGGTACAGAATAATATTTGAATTGGCAATACACAATAATTTGTGAATTAGCATCAGTTGCTTTATGAGAAACATGAATGCTTGAATGAAAGTTTTCAAGCATCAAAAAATAAGTGTAACACGGCTTTTAATTTTAAATATTAAAAGAATCTATTTAAGGATCACAGTGTAGCACCAAAATACTAATTCACTGTCATTTGAAATCTGTCTGTATTTGCCACTCGGTTTGACCCATTTAGCAGCAAGAAGATTGAAATCATTTAAAATAGAATCAAATTCAGTCTGATCACTTATTCTTTGATATATTTCAATAAGTACAGCTCAGAATAAGTTTGTTGTTTCGTTTGACATAAATACATGTTACACTGAATGATAATGGAACATTATATCACCCATATTTGGACATTTTATAAGTTATTTGAACCATTTAAATAGGCACTTTACTTGTATAGTATGCTTTCCATGTATGTAAAATCACTTTTGTAAATTTAATATCATCAGTGAAGCTCCGCCCACAACAAACACATCATCAGTGAAGCTCCGCCCACAGCAAACGCATCATCAGTTAAGCTCCGCCCACAGTAATTCGCCAATAAATGCTGGAATTTTCCATCAGGAAGAAGTGAAATCTGCAAAGACTGAGAACAGTGAGAACACAGTGATCTAGAACCCTGCAGGATGAAACACACTGAAGAACAGAGAGGTCGGTGTTTATTCTTGACTCTTAATTCATTCATGATGCTGAAGGACATTAATGTTATAAAGCTTCAAGCAGTTCATCAGATTTAGATAAACAGTTAAACCATGAAATGGATACAAACTTTTCTTCATGTTTTGGTTTTCAACAAATGGTCAATAAGCTTTAATTTTGATTGCAAACATCAAATCAATCTAAATGTTGTTTTAGCTCTTTTATTTTGTGGTTATGCTTTTGCAACAATGTTACCAAAATTTTGGACATTTCTCAATATAGTTTACAACAACTAGCAATAAACAGTAAACACCAAAAATTAAATGAACTTTCCAGAATGGGTGACAGGTTTTAAGCAAAAGCTTATTTATAGTTACTGATAAAGTTGAATTTCTAATAAAATATAGGACTTATTCATAGTTATAGAGATAATTTTTCTTATAGTAACTTGATGAATGCAGTCAACACTGTACAGTTTTTGTAAAAATGGATTGAGATTATTTTCTTGTCCACCCATGATGCTGTAGAAAAGAGCCCAAATGATGTCACAATTTTAAGAAATGCCCTATTTATTAAAATGAGGAAAATCGTTGAGTGAAATCTGTAGGACACAGCTAATGCTAAAAATTCTTGATTAAAAACCAGTTTAAGCCACGGTCAATCTAGACTTTGACCATGTGAAATTTCAACAGACACTGAAACACTCGTTTATGTGGCGTCTTTAAAAAACATAAACTGAACATATAATAAATTCAAAATATAAAACCTATTCCACTTGACTGCAAAAAGTTTGCCACCTAAAAGTTGTTGTGAAAATTGTAGCTGTTTTGTTTGTTTTTTGTTAACATTGCATTAGATAATTTTGTCGTTAATCAAATATATTTAATAGTTCTCACTACAGAAACACTACATGAGCCTATAATGTTTAAAAAATTATAACTGGAAAATCAATGTACCTATAATTATATAATTAATTCATATAATTAATTTATAAAAATGCATCTAAATAATTGCAATATTTTATAACGGTTGCCGCTTTTCTGCTATTACATCAGGGCTCACTTTTATGACTTTTCAATTCATATTCCTGGCTTTGAATTATTTTGGCTTACTAAAAAATGCAACTTTTTTTTTTGTTTTGTTTTCATTTCAGACCTGATGGAAGAGAATGAAGAACTGAGTGAAGTGGAGGAGAAACATGTCAAACCCGGAGAAAAACCTCAGAGTCGCTCGAAAACTAAAAATAAATTTTTAAAGGAAAGAAGAGCTGAGAAATCTTTTCTCTGCCTTCAGTGTGGAAAGAGTTTCCCATTCAAACAAAATCTTGAGATTCACATGAGAGTCCACACTAGAGAGCGACCGTATGCGTGTGATCACTGTGGCAAAACATTTAGTGTGTCATCATCCCTGAAGACACACCTGACAGTTCATACGAAGGAGAAGCCACATTCATGTTCTTCGTGTGGAAAGAGTTTTTCACTGCTGCAAAGTTTAAAAATGCATCAGAAAACACATACTGGTGTAAAATCTCATACGTGCTTTGAGTGTGGGAAGACTTTTATTTCAGCAAATGAATTGAAACTGCATCAGAGGATCCACACTGGAGAGAAACCTTACAAGTGTTCACACTGCGACAAGAGATTCAATCAGTCATCAAATCTGAAAACACATGAGAGGATCCACACTGGAGAGAAACCACACACGTGTGATCAGTGCGGGAAGACCTTCACATACAAACATCATCTCGGAGTCCACATGACGATCCACACGGGGGAAAAGCCACATGCATGTGATCAATGTGGAAAGAGTTTCTCATTGAAAAGCTATCTTGCTGTTCACATGAGATTCCACACCGGAGAAAAGCCATACGCATGCGATCAATGTGACCAAACATTTCATGTGTCTTCATCCCTGAAGAAACACCTGGCCGTTCATACGAAGGAGAAGCCACATACATGTTCTTTATGTGGAAAGAGTTTTTCACTGCTGCAAAGTTTAAAGTCACATCAGAAGTTACATAACGCTGTGAGAGATTATATGTGCTTTGAGTGTGGGAAGACGTTTATTTCAGCAAATGAATTGAAACTGCATCAGCGGATCCACACTGGAGAGAAACCTTACAAGTGTTCACACTGCGACATGAAATTCAGTCGGTCATCAAATATGAAATCACATGAGCGGATCCACACTGGAGAGAAACCTTACAAGTGTTCACACTGCGACATGAAATTCAGTCGGTCATCAAATATGAAATCACATGAGCGGATCCACACTGGAGAGAAACCTTACAAGTGTTCACACTGCGACATGAAATTCAGTCGGTCATCAAATATGAAATCACATGAGCGGATCCACACTGGAGAGAAACCTTACAAGTGTTCACACTGCGGCAAGAGATTCAGTCTGTCATTCAGTCTGAAATCACATGAGCGGATCCACACTGGAGAGAAACCTTACAAGTGTTCACACTGCGACATGAAATTCAGTCGGTCATCAAATATGAAATCACATGAGCGGATCCACACTGGAAAGAAGCCTTACAAGTGTTCGCACTGCGACATGAGATTCAGTCGGTCATCAAATCTGAAAAGACATGAGCTGATCCACAGTAGAGAGAAGCTGCACACGTGTGATCAGTGCTCAAGGAGTTTCACTTCTATAACTCACCTGAAGCTACACATGAAGATCCATGCAGTAAAGAAACCAGACCACCGTGATCCATGCGGGCAGAGTTTCGCTCCGTTACCTTCTTTATTCACTCACAACAATCACAGTCTGAAATCACGGTAAGCAGTTCATCTCTATGTGCTGAGCAATAAAGTCTCTTCTGTGTAAGTTAGTTTCCTAACAGCCACGATTGGTGACAGGATATTTTGTTGGTTGTTGGTTGGTTGGAAAGTAGTCAAGTCAAGTCAAGTCACCATTATTTATATAGCGCTTTTTACAATGCAAATTGTGTCAAAGCAGCTTTGCAGTATTAAACGGGGAAATAGTGTGTCGAAATAGTGTGTCTTTCTCCTCTGGCCAGACGAGACCAGCAGTTTAAATCTAGGCTGCAGCAGAGTCAGATTGTGCAGAGGACTCATCTGGTTCCTGTGGGCTTGTCCCAATGGCCATCTAGAAGACGAGGTCTTTGGGGGGGATCAGTCTCTGGGGCACATCTAGATGTCCTGATGTCTGATATTTAGATATCTAGATGTCTGGGTGGCTACGTTGACCTCGGAATAAGAATGAAACAGACTAATATTAGCATAGATGCCATTCTTCTAACGATGCAACAAGTACATCGGGTGTTATGGGAAGTGTTCCCGGTTCCGGTTGACCTAATTAATGCATCCTAACAATCCTTTAACGGATTTGAATTATAGAAATGTGTTAGCGTGTTATGTGTAAAACAGATTAAAGAGATGGGTTTTTAATCTAGATTTAAACTGACAGTGTGTCTGCCTCCCGAACAGTGTTAGGTAGATTGTTCCAGAGTTTGGGCGCTAAATAGGAAAAGGATCTTCCGCCCGCAGTTGTAGGGAGCCAGTGCAGTGTTGACAGAACCGGGCTAATATGGTCATACTTCCTGGTTCTAGTAAGAACTCTAGCTGCTGCATTTTGGACCAGCTGGAGTTTGTTTATTAAGCGTGCAGAACAACCACCCAATAAAGGATTACAATAATCTAACCTTGAGGTTACGAACGCATGAATTAATGTTTCTGCATTTGACATTGAGAGCATAGGTCGTAATTTAGATATATTTTTAAGATGGAAAAAATGTGGTTTTACAAATGCAAGAAACATGTTTTTCAAGGGAAAGATTGCTATCAAATAGCACGCTTGGGTTCCTAACTGATGACGAAGAATTTACAGAGCAGCCATCAAGTATTAGACATTGTTCTAGGTTATTACATGCAGAGGTTTTAGGTCCGATAATTAACACCTCTGTTTTTTCAGAATTTAGCGGTAAGAAATTACTAGTCATCCAGTTTTTTATATCAACTATGCATTCCGTTAGTTTTGCAAATTGGTATGTTTCATCGGGTCGTGACGAAATATAGAACTGAGTATCATCATCATAACAGTTAAAGCTGACAAGTACTGAGCCTTGGGGTACTCCATACTGCACTTGTGAAAGATATGATACCTCTTCATTCACTGCCACAAATTGATGGCGGTCAGATAAGTATGATTTGAACCATGCCAATGCACTTCCTCTAATGCCAACATCATTTTCTAGTCTTTTCAAAAGAATGTTGTGGTTGATAGTGTCAAATGCGGCACTAAGATCCAGTAGCACTAATAGAGAGATACAACCACGATCAGATGATAAGAGCAGGTCATTTGTAACTCTAATGAGAGCAGTCTCAGTACTATGATATGGTCTAAAGTATCTCATTGTTATGAGAAAGTATCTTATTATTATGAGATATTAAGTCATAATTATTAGAAAGCGTCTCTTTCTCTTTATAATAACTTACATATTTATGTTTTACTGTGGTGGAAATGGGCTTCCTTACTTCCTTACGTTGTTGTAGTCTTAGTATGTTGGTGTTGCTTTGACAAAGCCTGATGATCCATGTTATCCAGCGTGATCTGAAAATCTGGAGTTACATTATCAGACACTATTTTCTTTTTTTAAATCATGTGATAAGTCTTACTGCAGAATCTGAAATATTTATTATACATTTTGCATCAATGTCTGTTAGAAATTACATTTTTGTTTTTGGCAGAACTGCCACGAGTGGCGAGAACAGTGATCCAGAATGAAACATCATGATGCTGAAGAACATGCTGATGCTCACTAGATTTACACTATTCCAGGTCAAGGATTTCAACATTTTATCTAAAATTGTCACAGGAAAAGCCACGTGTAAGGCTGGACTCAGAATCTTCACATCCAACAAAACAATAAAACCGACTGATCTGGCAAAGAGATCTTCAGGAAAAACAACAGACAGTTACTATATATATTCTTTTCCTTCACTTACCTGTGGACAGCTCCGCACCTTTCTTTTCACTACAGCTTCCACTAATTCATTAAGAAGGACTTCACTGATAGTCTGATCATACTCTCGCAGAACCATGATGATTGAGTCTCTCACAAGAGGTCTGGACAGTAAGTATATATGTACCAAACTTTCAACTATGTCTTGGATAGCCATCTCTGATACACAAAGAACACAGAAGATTTTCAAGAACAAAGAAGCCAAATTCCTGGGGTGAGTTTGCAATTCATCTTGACTCAAGCAGATTACAGTCAGTAGTCTCTCAGCAGAATTCTGAGAGCAATCAGGCTCATTGCATTCAACTTGACTTTGCTGTCAGTCACTTTCAAGATGATCTCGTCTTTAAAATCTGAGACATCACCATATGGATGATTCCTACTTTTGTGGGCATTGAAGGTGGTATACATATTAGTAGAGTACTGATGACTGATTTACTTTTATGCTATTTTTTTTCTTTTCGATTTGTGTTGTGCACTCAATATTCATTCCCATTTTAATGTCTCTATACAATGATTGTGTATTAAAATTGTAGGGTTGAGTGAAAATGGGTAGAACTATTTACTGTCCTAATACTTCAGAAATCCATTTAAACGTATGCATGTGAACTAAATGTGACACAATGGCCTTCATCATCACAGGATGCTATTGACTGAAACTTTCATTATCTAAATGTTCAGGTTAAATCCTACGTTTTCCTATCAGTTCTAAAAAAAACCTTTATAGAATAAGAGGTTAAAGAATAACAACTTTAATGGAGTCAGATAAATATGAATTATACACGTCATCCTTCAACTGTCTTTTGTTCCGATTATTGGTTCAAAATAGCAGCGTAAGCTTCCAGCCTTACAAAATTAATAATTGGACATCAACGTAACAAACTGAACTGCCAGCTGCCTCACTTTTAACCTGAAAAGAGAGAGATGGAGAAGTTAATCAGGTTGTAATATTTGCCAAAGCACTAGGAAAAATATCTATAAAGCACATAACACTAATAAGCAATTTAATTTAATAGGCATTATGTGAAATATCGTGTTCAGTCTGATCCCATAATACAAACCTTGTTTAAATATTTGTTTATACTGCACAATTTGCATTTTGAAATGTTACATTTTAAGCAAGAAATGTTTTAGCTAAATAACACAAACTGGTATGGCTTGAGCAAACCACTTGAACTATTTGAATACGTGGAACAAAGTGCATCAAATTATTGTCAAACCTCTATGAAAACCATTACTTTTTGTCCAAGAATGCATGCTATTTTGAGGTCATTAAAATTTGCTACCCAAACATTTTTATGCGAGCACAACCGATGCAAAAACACATTTTGAGATTTTAAATAAAATGCTAAAATGGCTCAAATCCAAATTAGCTTTGCAAATGTTTAAAATACATTAACTGATAAGACTTACCAGATTAGCATGCCCAAAGAGAAGAGGAATATGATGGCAGGTAGCTCAATAGCTTATCTGAGGTCACTACTCATCACAAAGACTGTTGTATTGCACCCCAGACTACATTTCCCACAATCCATTGCACGTGGAACTGATTACCGTCACACCTGTTTCCCATCAGGGACACTATTTAAACTGGACCAACACACACTCACAATGCCGAGTATTTTAAGCACTTATCACAGTTTATTGTGATAGCTACTTTACGGAGCCATATCCGAGTTTCTAGTCTGGTATGTTTATCTTGCCTTGTCTAGTCGTGTTTTTGGATATCTGCCTGGTTTATCTAGTTTTGTTTATTCGCTAGGGGTGGGCGCTACCGGTATTATGTTGTTCCATGATATGGATTTTGCTATACCATGGATACTGTTATATATTCATGCATTTATATAATTTTGTTCAATTTGGTACGCTTTGCCAATGTTAGCACAAATGACGATAAAGAGTCGAGGCTGAACGTTTTTGTCCTCTGTGTGCAACGCCGTACTACACAGGCATTAGTAAATAGAGCACAAATCGCCTACTCCAGTGGTTCCCAAACTCGGGGACGCGGCAAGGCTGAGGGATAGTGCACAGTCTGCAGATTATTTTGCAAAATAAATCTCTGCAGGGTGATAAAGACTACACTATGTTAGGGTGACCATATTTTAGTTTTCCAAAAAGAGGACAGTAGGGGGTGGGGTTTGTGGGCGGGGACAAGGGCGGGGCTTCACCTAACAGTATATATGGCAAGGTTTTTTTTGTTTGTTTGCTTATTTTGTGTTTATAATAAATAAAAAGAATAGGGAATGCTAGTGTTAGAGGGTCATTTTTAAATAAACAAAACAAGTCAATAGAACAGAAATGAATAGATAATGCTAATGTTAGAAGGTCATTATTTATAATAAATAAAAAGAAAATAAGTAGAAAGAATAGAGAATGCTAGTGTTAGAGGCTCTTTTTTTTCTTTATAAATAAAATAAGTAGTTAGAATAGAAATAGAATAGAGAGTGCAAATGTTAGAGGGTCAAACAAACAAGCAGATAAAATTAGAAGTAGCATTAGAATGGAGAGTGCTAGAGTTAGAGGGTCAAATTAAGATGAAAGAGATGTGTTTTCAGCCGTTTCTTGAAAATAATAAGGACATAATATAATAAGGAAAATAATAATAATAATAAGGTCATTCCACCAGGAGGGAACAGTTAATGTAGAAGTCCATGAAAGTTTTATCATAGGTAGAATGCAAAATGTTTCAATACAAGCATTTCAGTCAAATGTAATTTATGCAATATTTCAAACCTTTAACCCACTTGGGAAAATCAACCCATGGCAACAGTTTAAAAGTAGCCCAATTCTGTGGAAAAAACGCGGACTTGGCAACCCTACATCCAACAAGAGCTGCAGGAGTCAGATTTGACTGATCACAGCAGGCGGTAATGGTCAGAGATTCAGCGGGAGCGGGATTAAGAAAACAGCTGAATCCCGGACATTTTGGGCAATTAAGAAATCCCAGCTGGACGCATTTTTGTAGGTCCAAAAAGAGTCCAGGGAAAAGAGGACGTATGGTCACCCTACACTACGTAATTTTCCCGCTTATGCGGCCACTTGCCTGATGAGTAAATAATTGAGCGCAAAATATTAATTTGACATATTTTATTTACCTCAACATGATTCGCAGTACCCGCTTGAGCGCTCCGTTATCAGTTGTGGTTGTATCAATAACAGACCACTAGATGG